TATACAAATTGGTCATTGATGTGGTTTTCCTTTGTTTTTTTTTTAAATATTTTATTTATTCATTTGACAGAGAGAGAGAGAGAGCACAAACAGGGGGAGCAGCAGGCAGAGGGAGAAGCAGGCCCCACTGAGCAGGGAGCCCGATGCGGAGCTTGATCCTAGGACCCTGGGATCATGACCTGAGCAGAAGGCAGACGCTTAACTGACTGAACCACCCAGGCGCCCTTCCTTTGCTTTTAGTAAGTAGGATGTCTTCCAATTTTCTCTCCTATGTAGTAATTGTGAACAAGTGGCTGGGTTTGATAGGGCAGGACCAGGAATGCTAAGTATCAGGTTTACTTTAGGATGAGTAGGCAAGTAACTAGCTCTCTGGATGCTGGTCCTGAGTACCAGAATGAGAATGGTATTATCTGTGTTGTCAACATAAAAGCTTTCATTTCCTCTCTACTATTTACACAATTCATTTGAAGAAGACTTTTTGGGTCTTTTTGGTTTCTTCGTTTGGTGGCAGGTGTCTTTGTCAGCTCTCAGTGTGTACAATGAAGAAGGAAATGTGTGTGGTGCCTGAGTCAGTGTACCATATTTACAATGTTATCCCCATTTTCAACCCTTAATCTCACTTCTGTTCTCTGCCATGCCTCAACCAACTCTTTTGTAGCTTCTTCACTGTAATTTTTGGCAATGGTTTTGGACTAGGAATAATCAGACCTCTATTATAGCTTTATTTCCCAGGAAATTGTTGAAGTTTTATTCACTTTTTTCTGCTGATCATCCTTCTCTCCATATAAGTACATGCATACAAACTCACTATCTTTACTTTTTATTTATTCCTCAGTTTTTCTACTTCTAAATTTTTATTTCAGCAGTGTATAGGAAAGAACATTAGGCAAATTATATGCCGAGTCCACCATCTTGAACAGTTAGCCAAGAATAACTCTCTATAGATTTTATAAGCATATATTTGCCATTTAGATAGAACCTATTGCAGAATCCCCCCTAACTGACTATCCCTTGGTCACATGACCACCTCTACAAAATTCTTATTCAAAGGGAAATAGAATTACTTCCAGGGTAATGGGAAGAGCTCACATTTCTTTAGTTGTTTGGTAACCTAACAAATTCATTTTATTAATTAAGGAAGAGGAGAAAAATGGTGACTGGTTAGGCAACCAACAGTGTCTGCCATCATAATTTTTTTCCCATATCATCATCCTTTATTAACAAGACTAGGGAAGCTCATTTTAAAATTGAGTCTTTTATTAATCAGCATCCCCCAGAGGTCAAGTGTCAGCTCCAGGAAAGGAACTGCACTGAGGTCCAGCAAAGATGTAATTTTAAGACCCAATGTTTTTAGTTGGGGTATGCAAAAAGAAGGGGGAACAATGGACTGGAGAATAGGTAAAACCAAAAAGGTCCAGAAGCCAAGGCTGTGGGACACTGGTGAGCTGAACAGACCTAATGGACACATATACTGAAAGAGATACTAAGGGCTAGACATGAGTCTGGAGCATACCAACCCATTCTGACAACTCATGGTGTGATAAGGGTGAGAATGAAAGGCTAACATGCTAAGGATGATAGAACATAGAGATGAAAAGGACCAAAAAACATGGATGAATTTGTTGAGCCAATGAAAATATGTTAGAAACACTTTCACCTTGAGATTTTCTGTTTTTGAGACAATTTTGAGAAAATTAAGGCACTATTAGTCAAATCTAGTTACATACACACACGTATATAATTTTACATATATGGGTTCATGTTGTGTACGCATTATTTTACAAACTATTTACTCAATTGTACTCCTTGATATATTTCCATATCAAGCAATACAGATTCATGCCATACTTTTTAATTCTTATAAATTATTCCACTTTAGAGATGTGCTGTACAATAATCCCCTCTTATCTGTGCAAGATACTTCTAAGACAGCTCCAGTAGATGCCTGAAACCAATGCTAGTACCAAACCCTGTATATACTATGTTTTTTCCTACACATACATAGTTATGATAAAGTTCAGTTTATAAATTAGGTACAGTAAAAGATTAACAACAAAGGCTAATAATAGAATAATTACAACAATATAATGTAATAAAAGTTATATGAATATGGTCTCTTTCTCTAAATATCTTATTGTAGTGTACTCACCTTTCTTCTTTGGATGTGAGAGGATAAAACACCTACTGATGAAGTGAAGTGAATGTCACAGGCATTCTGACATAGCAGTAGGCCACTATTCACCCTTTGATGATATATCAGAAGAAGGATCATCTGCTTCCAGATTGTGGTTGACCTCAGGTAACTGAAACAACAGAAAGGGAAACCTTGGACCAGGGGCAGGACTACTATAATCAGTTTAAAGCAATCCCCTATTGTTTTTGGAATAATACATTTTTTATAGTAATTTTTTTTTTAAAGATTTTATTTATTTATTTGAGAGAGAGAATGAGAGAGAGAGAGCACGAGAGGGGGGAGGGTCAGAGGGAGAAGCAGACTCCCTGCCGAGCAGGGAGCCCGATGCGGGACTCGATCCCAGGACTCCAGGATCATGACCTGAGCCGAAGGCAGTCGCCCAACCAACTGAGCCACCCAGGCGCCCCTGGAATAATACATTTTTAAGTACGAGTTTTAGTTGGTTGCCCAACCACCCATTAATTTCAACCCACCCTACTCAATATTTTTTTTTTAAGATTTTATTTATTTGTCAGAGAGAGAGAGCAAAAGCAGGGGGGAGTGGCAGGTAGAGGGAGAAGCAGGCTTCCTGCTGAGCAAGGAGCCCGATGCGGGACTCCATCCCAGGACCCTGGGATCATGACCTGAGCTGAAGGCAGACGCTTAATTGACTGAGTCACCTAGGCGTCCCCACACTACTCAATATTGACAAAAGATTCATACAATCCTATTTTCTAACTGCCAGATCCTGATTGCCTACAGTACTAAATTCCTTAAATTAAAAATTGAGTCTTCTTACAGATTAGTTTCTAATTTTAACTTTATTGTCACTACCTTCCAATAAGCACCTTCTATTATAGACCAACAAGTTACTCATTATCATAGAGTGCATCTGCAATCTTGGTTCCTTGTCTTTGCTCACAGCACACTTTCTGGACAGTCTTCTTTCTTTTCATTAGGAATCCTGTCATCAGACTCTTTCCACTGACATTTTGGAAAACCCTCCAGGGATTACAAAGAGGACAAATATAGTTCTTCGAGTTCAGTGAAGTGTATTTTCCTCTAGGTCAGGACTGTCTAATAGAAATAAGATGCAAGCCACCTATGTAATTTAAAACTTTCTAGTAGCCATATTTAAAAAAAAATGAACAGGTAAAATTACTTTTAATATATTGACCCAGTGTATACCAAATGTTAATATTTCAATAGGTACTCAATATAAGAATTAAGATATTTTACCTTTTTTTGTACTAAGTTTCAAAATATGGTGTATATTTTGTACTTACTGCATGTTTCCATTTGGATCCATCACATTTCAAGGGTAAAGAGTTGCATTTGATTAGTTCTAGGGCAGTTCTAGTGGGGTCCATTTTCAATCTCCTCCTTCTTCCTTAAGTCTCCAAGGAACTGTGATAAGAACAATCTGTCGTGTGAATTTCTAGCACTTTTTGTTAGTACCTCTCATTATCATGCGGCTTCCTCTCATTATTTACCTTTTGACGCATTTGTCTTATCTCATAAGTTAACCTGTAAATTCTTTTAAGTCTGGGACCATGGGCTGATCCAATCTGAAGGTTGGGAATAACTTTAATAAAACTAATTCTTTTGATGTATGGCTCCCCTTCACCTAGTGCCTATGAAGTAAGCCTTTAGAATCTAATTAAGGTCAAATCCAGTGGTTGAGGCATCCACATATCCTAAGGCAGACAACTTCTCTGACTAGTGCTAGAAGGGGATCTTCTTTTCAGGATCTGAAATCTGTTTCTCTCAAGTCTGCAGCTCTTGAGACCACATGAAATAAATCTAATGTCACATGACTAGTGTTTATTTAATAGGAGATGTTCCCGGAGCTTTCTCTCTTCTATGAGAATCCTCCCAAGTTCAATCAGTACTTTTTTTTATGTGGTACGTTTTGGGGTTCTCTTCATCATCTGCTCTTCTATGAAATAATCCCAGCTTCTCTGAGGTTGTTTTTGTTTGTTTGTTTGTTTGTTTGTTTTAAGTGCTCAATCTAGACTGAACACAGAACTCCAGTCATGGTTTGGCCAGTGAAGAGTATTAAGTGGATCACTATTGACTGCGTTTCTATAAAACACAATTCCATTATGCATCAAGACACATTGCTCATGAGAAAGGGGGATGGAAGAGGAGGAAGCTAGGACACATTAAGTCACGCCCTCATGCCGACGTTTAGTCTAGAACTGTATACACATACACCGCACAGTTCTTGAGGTTAGTTAATTTTTCTTAATGTCGTCTGTCTTTTCAAATGAACCAGGGAATCTTCAGACATTTTGTTTTTGGTGGGGACCGTCAGACCAAAGGACCGTCTAGCAGAGATAACTTTAAGGTAACTGAGCTGAGAATTCAGAAAGCTTAAGGAAAGCGGATCTGAGACCAGAGTGTCCAATAGCTGGGAGCTCTGGCTGGTGATGAAGATCGCAATTACCCGGTTCTTCAGACTTCATACTTATTGCTCTTCTCTCCTTTACAGGAATTGTTACTTCTTTGTCTTCATCTTAGGGAAAAGAATAGGAGAAAAGATGCAGGCAACTCAAGTAATTGCGGGGAAAGTTCTCCGGTAGTGAGCTAGAGGCACCAGGCCTGACTCCGCAGGGACACCCACCTGACCGCGGAGTCCTGGCAACGCGCGCCCTCGCGCCCGTGCCCGTTTCGGGGCGCGCCCTCGGCGCCAGGCCGGTCCTCTTCGCCGCTCTGCTCTGCGGGCGGGAGGCGGGCGGCGGCGCGCGCGGACGGGGTGGGGCAGGAGGGAGCCGACGTGCCGACGTTGGCGCCGCTGCGGGCGGGTGACGTGTAAGCCCGCGCCTGCTCCGCCCCCTCCCTCCTCGCCGGGTGTGTAGGTCTGTACGGTGGTCGGGGCGCTGTGCTCTGTGACTGGGAGCGACCCCAGAGAGCTCCGGGTGGGGTGCAAAGGAAGGCATAGCGGTGCAGTCGTCCGCTGGCATCTTCGGCTCTGCCCTCCGCTCCCCACCCGGCGTGGAAAGTAAAAATGAAAACGAAAGGGAGGGAGACGCGAAGGTAGGAGCTGACCGAGTGATGGGAAGCGCGTGAGCTGGGGCCGAGAGCTGAGGAGGTGGAGGTGAGAAGGAGGAGGGGCGCCGCGTCCAGGGGTAGGTGGCGGGAGGCAGGGACTTCGGGGTGGGCGACGCGACCGGATAGCCCCCTCGGGACTAGGGGCAAGCCACGAGCTGTCATCCCTCTCGGGGCCTGAAGTCTTGATCGTGGTCTCTGACAGTTTGGTCCCACTCTTGGAATTTGTAGGTGGGGGGTGGTGATCAAAAAAATCAACCCAAGCCACAGATTGCCCAGGTGTTAGGCCACAACGTGGTGGCCAGGTGGGGTGATTTTTCTTTCCTGGACGAGGGTAATTTGTTTTCTTTAGGTTTTGTTTGTTTTGTTACAAAGCTGTGGTAACTTTTTCGTTTTCCTCACACAGATTTTGGGAGAAAAGTATGCTTTATATTTTTTTTTACCCCCACACTGAAAAGTAAATAGTCTGGTTAGGGAGTTGGTCATGGTGACTTGTGGGTGAATTTAGCAATCGCCGAGTCTAGAATTTCATTTTGAAGTAAGTAAATGTGTGCGCGTGTGAGGGTGCTGTGGGAATGGGGGCAGTTGTATTAAATAGTTTTTATATCATAAGTTAACTTATTTATTGAATGCAATGCGTTCGTGTATTTTGCTATTCTTTGGTTTAAAAGAAGTATAATTTTAGTGTTAGCTAAAAGTTTGATATGAGTGGTATCACATGTACATTCAAGCTAGTAAGCATATTTTCTTTCTCTAAGTAAGATTGGATTGAATAACCAGTATCTCCATCTCTAGATTTCATGTTTCATGGGTGAAATGTTTTTTTTTCTCATTTTCAGAGTGTTGTGAAAAGTTAAGAATTCAGCTTTTGAGTCTACTCTGGATTGAACTTCTGTGCATGTATCTTTTATTTTTAATGATGGCTATAATAATAGTCTCGCATGAGAAAAATGCTCCTTAGAGATGCCAGTTAAGTGTAGGCTAAATAATCTTATTGAATGAATTAATTTTTCATGGTTTAGCCTTCTTGATCCCTGTTGAACAGTTTTCTTTTATCATTTCATTCATTCATGTCTTCATCTGTGCCAGGCACTGTGCTATGCCTAGAAAAAAAAAAAGATACAGTGTCTGTGCTTATGGAACTTTCTATAGTCCCACACCCTTTTAACAGAATCTTAAGTAGGGTTCCTCTTCATGTCGTGGATCTCTAGTGGACCAAAGTAAGGCTTTTCATGAAACTAAGTTATTGTCAGTGTTTATATGTAACTGGCCTCTAAAGAGGAGCAGATTATTTTTCTTGAACAGCATGACTTGATTTTGCCTTTGATCAAAAAGAAAGTATATATGCCAATGTTTTGCCAGTTAAGAGTAATTTTTTTCTTTTTTTTAAGATTTATTTATTTATTTGAGGGCGCCTGGGTGGCTCAGATGGTTAAGCGTCTGCCTTTGGCTCAGGTCATGGTCCCAGGGTCCTGGGATCGAGTCCCACATTGGGCTCCTTGCTCCTTGGGAGCCTGCTTCTCCCTCTGCCTCTCTCTCTCTCTCTGTCTCTCATGAATAAATAAATAAAATCTTTAAAAAAAAAGATTTATTTATTTGAGAGAGAAAGAGGGAGCACGAGTGGGGGGAGGGGCAGAGGGAGAGGAAGAGAGAGAATCTCAAGCACACTTGGGGAGCCCAACGTGGGGCTCTATCTCAGGACCCTGAGATCATGACCTGAGCCGAAATCAAGAGTTGGCCGCTTAACCCACTGAGCCACGCAGGAGCCCCAAGAATAATTTTTTTTTCTTTTTGCAAAATTGGCTTAAATACAAAGTTCACAATTGCAAGTCAGTTTCTACCTGAAAAAGACTTTATTTTTCCAGCTTTTACATTGGTCTCATTGGATCTCCTATGTGTTAATAACTTCTAATTCACAATAATTATATGCACAAAGCATATTCATCAGAAATATGTATGATACTTACTGATAAGTAAGTTTTTTGCCCCATAGTACCTTCTCTGGGGAGGTAGTTAGCATAAGGCTTTGCAGTGCAAAGTATATCTTGATATAATATGGCACAGTTTTCAACTTTGAGAAGATATCTACCTGAAGTTGAAATTTTAACAAACACAAACATTTATGGAAAGAAAAAGTGCATAATTACCAAGGAGGAAAGAATAAGGTATCTAATGTATTTATTAATTGTAAGAAGGTAGGCATTATGTGTCTGTCTTCTACAATGTACTGTAAAGTTTTTTAAAGTAGGTACTGGATCTTATTTCTTACATCTTTTGCCTAGTATAGTGCCTAGCTCATGGTAGACTATATAAATGTTCATTCATTTAGCATATACCATCTCATTTAAGTCCTCTATTTTGCATGTAGATGAGCAAGTATGTTTGAGAATGTTTGCTGTTTGTTCAGTTTCATTTTTCTTCTGTTAGGTATGATCATCAGCTTTACAGGTGGTCTTATTTCTGAAACTCATTCAGATTTAATGCAGTTTAATCCATCTCTGAATATTTTGATTTAATCAGATCATTCACCCGAAAGGGGCAAAAAAAATCATTTTGAGGGGCGCCTAGGTGGCTCAGTTGGCTAAGCCTCTGCCTTCAGCTCAGGTCAGGTCGAGCCCGGCATTGGGCTCCCTGCTCAGTGGAGAGCCTGCTTCTTCCTCCCACTCTGCTGCTCCCCCTGCTTGTGTTCTTTCTCTCTCTGTCAAATAAATAAATAAATCTTAAAAAAAAAAGTCTTTTTTAAGATTTTATTTTTATTTATTTGACAGAGAGAGACACAGCGAGAGAGGAGTGGGAAAGGGAGAAGCAGGCTTCCTGCCAAGCAGGGAGCCCGACGTGGGGCTTGATCCCAGGACTCTGGGACCATGACCTGAGCTGAAGGCAGACGCTTAAGGACTGAGCCACCCAGGCACCCCAGTTCTCGTTATTTTTATTTGACTTTCCTACTATGCCTCTCCTCATTGTTATTTGAATAGGCTAACTCTTGGGGACCTTTGTAAATTAAGATAGAGTCTCATTTTATCTTTCTGGTTTTGGAGTTTTGGGCTTATCTTCCTCCACTTCTGTGATCTCTTCAAAGGGAATTGTTAGGAAGTTCATTCATTATCAAAGGTTTGAACTGACATGGAAAATAAGGGTGGAATTTGGAAGAGGTACATAATTTTTAAGCTAGTAATATGTAATAAATTTACAGGTAGCAGTAAGCATTCTCAGGATATGTTTTAATAAGATCATTGCTGAGAAATATTTATATTTGAAGGAGAGAAAGTTCACACCTAGTTATTTAATAACTAAACCAGAGATTTTCAAACATACCGAATCAGAATTTCTGGGGATGGTGTCTAGAAATGTCTGTGTTCAAACAACTCCCCAGTGATTCCAGTGCAACCAGTTCATATTGGAGAACTTCTGATTAAACCATATGAATTCAGAAGCCTCTTAATTTTCTGTTCTGGTCTATTAAAGCAGAACTTCAAAAGAAGGGAGGGAATTATCTCAGGATTATGGAGTAGTCAGAGAGGTAGTTGCTAATGTTTCCCAGAATTTTTATTTTTATTTATTTTTTAAAATATTTATTTATTTTAGAGAGAGAGAGAGAGTGGGTGTAGTGGGGGTGGGGGGAATAGAGAGGGGCAGAGGGAAAGGGAGAGAGAATCCCAAGGAGAGCCCAAGGTAGGCCTCCATCTCACGACCCTGAGTCATGACCTGAACCAAGACCAAGAGTCAGATGCTTTACTGACTGTGCCACCCAGCCGCCCCACTTTGCCAGCATTTTTAAAGACTTGCTAGGTCATTTTGAAATTAAGTCAGTGACTAGCAAGTCACTCACTCAGTTGTGTGTAGCTAAGAAACATGGCATGCAAATCTGATAAAGGAAAACATATTCCATTCCAAAGAGAGGAAATTCTTATTGGTAAGACAATTTTTCTTTTCTTCTTCTTTTTTTTTTTCCTATCTGGGATGGTTGATCTTGAGCCTGCAGGGAGAAGGCTGGCTCCAGACTTCTCCAAGTCCACGTTTCTTTTCCTCCAATTCTTACACGTCCAAAGACAGAAAACCACGCAGACACACCTTTGTTGGAGGGTTCTATTTGTCTTTTTAGAAAAATTTCTTTACTTACTTTCTTGAAAGTCAATAAAATGCCCAACAGGCTAATCAGATGAAACAATATAAAAATGTTAAATTCTACTTTTAAACATCAGTAGAGATAAATATACCTTCATCTTGGTTTAAGAAACTTAATTCTAAAACCCTACACAAATGATTTATAAGAAGAACTTAATGTGAGGATAATACGCAGTTTTCAAAAATAAGTGCATTTTTTCCCAGTGTGCATGCATTTTCTAAATTAGACCTGATTTAAGCAGGACTTTTAACACCAGGGGGGTTCGTTAAATGGTTTTTCTGAGCATTCTTTAAGGAGTGAAGGAAACTTTGCAAAATATTAGCACTGTCTGTACTCTGGGGATGGGGAAACAAGGAATAACCTAAAGATTACTTCTGGAAAGAGTCACAGATTAATGTTCTGAGTACACATTATTGAACAAATACTGAGTTTCTTGGTGTAGGCTAAGAACCATGCAAGGTACTGGGGAAAAGCGGGACATACACTACTGCAGTGGTGAGGTGCTAGTCAAAATGCTGGCTTTGTGAGACTTTGAATTGACTTGAAGCAAGGAAAAATACTAATACCCGTGAATGCTGCCTGGTCAGCCAGGTAGAGGCTTTGTCACTGATTTAAAAAGTGAAAAAGTTGGTATCCTAAGTTACTGATTTTGGCCATTAGCTTGGGGAAAAAAATTTAGAGTTATTAGGGAGTTTGAAAAATGATTGATTTAACTCCAGTTTTTCAGAGCTCTTCTCTTTGTATTTATTGGCTATAATAGAGATGCTAGTTAAGAAATATCAGGTGAGTGAAAGCTGTTCCTACATTCTTCTACTATGGTTTTCCTTCTGAGCCCACTCCTACCCTAGGTTTTCTAGTAATGTCAACTTTTACATTGCTTTTTGTTTTCTATTAGCCTGAGATTTAGAAAATACCCAAATATT